GATAGTGATGCAGGGAGCGTGGATTCTCATATTATTGAAGATATAGACGATTTTTCAGCCTATGCCGAATTCAAAAGAATAGACAATTTTTCAGCCTATGCCGAATTCAAAAGCATTGCAAAAAGTGAATGAATCATACGCAAAAATTTAATTTTTATGAATTTGTAAATTTTATTTTTCGCACGAATTTAATCAGTTTATGCATATATATATTGATTTGATTTTACATGTATCCCCTCTTCTTGTACTTGTAATCAGAAAAACAAAATAGACAATGTAAAAAATATTAATAAAGCTTAAAGTTATAATTTATTGCTTTATCTGCAGTACATGTGAACGTGTTAATTTTGGCTACGTATACTGTAAATTAATTATTATTAATATGCACTAATTAAATGATCCACTACTTAGTAATAACCGGCATCTTCATCATCATCAGAAAATGTTACGTTTATTGTTGTGACGATCATATTTTTTTACAGTAATTTTGCCCGAATACTATGTTTATTTTTACGCTTTCACAGATACTATTGGGATTCCTTTCTGAACATCCCCCCAACAATTAAGACGATAAGTTATTTCGCCATAATAATCACCATCGCCCCACTGACCTTGAACATTATCTCTTTTATGCTCTTTATCACATACCGGACATATATCTGGACAATCAAAATTGTCGCCATATTTATCACTGTATTTCAAAGATAGATAAGAAAAACGTTCCAATACCATTGCAATAACATGTATTCGTTTTTCTTCTGGATCTTCAGGTAAAACGGAGATTGGGAATCGGGATTTGTTAGATGTATTTACCTGGGTTTCCAGTAAGGCTTTTTTCGGTTGAGATATGGATGGTATACTAACGTTGGCTTTCGTATCTAAAGATGATATACTTACCTCAGCTTCTGGTGATTTTTTTGAAACAGTGGAAACGGATTCAATAGATATACTTGCTTCTGCAATAGTTTGATCGTCACAATTCGTGGCAGTTTCCAATAATGGTTTTACTGAAATTACATTCTTGATAATGTTTTGAATTTGACTATTAGTAAGGCTTGAAATGGTATATATACTGTAGGTAACTTGCTTAATTTTTTCTATTCCAACTCCATCTTTCCCAAACAACATCCGAATTTTCTTGGCTCTTAAAGTTTTCATACGCAAGTTTCCTGATGTAATACCAGGTAGATGTTTTAACATTTCTTTGTATAATTGCATTCTAGCAGTTTTATCTGTAACCCCTAACTCACAGCAAATTTCGATAACTTTATTTTCAAAATCGTCCGAGTAATAATACCAAGCTAAGATTTCTTCATGCCTAGATCGTATTGCATAATGAAATAAACGGACTAAGCTTTGTGTTGTGATTTGGAATGTTCAATACTCCATAATCTCAGAGGAAACGGGTGGTACAATAGGGTTGCTACTGAGTAATTGTTTTGTTAATCCTTGCACTATACACTGTCTTTTAGTGGGCTCAATCTCATCAGGCTCCTCAGTTACGTGAATGTTATGATTTGTAGGCTCGCTCCCTTGGCATTTTTCTTTTTGTCGATCGTCAGGATTCGTGACGGAAATTTCTTGGCATTTTCCTTGTATTAAACTTTGCTCACAGCAAATATTATTCTCAGGAGTTGAGAGTAACTCTTGATCTCGAAGTTTCTTCTCCCTAATTCTCTCCATTATCTCTTTACTGACCTGTTCCTTATAAACCGTTTCTACAAAATCTAGGGTCTCAGCTGTATCGTCATCAATAATATCTTGTGGCAAAGAGGTTATAGACGATTCAGGATCTGTTAAAGATTCAGATTGTGTTGAGCTATGTACTGTTTCGGGCATAGGATTGGGAGTAATAGCTTCCTCCTCATTAGGTTGGCTCTCGGCCTTTAGCTGGCTCATATCGATATGTGATGAAATATGTTTTGTGGAAGTATTATCAGAATTTATTTCAGGGGGAATAGGCACTTGTAAACTCACTGGAACCTGCAAAATATTAGCATCCTTGTCTTGTAAGTTTTGCTCCTTGATTAGTGAGACATCACATTCTAGTTTTGTAAATCTTCTTTCATATTCTTCTAAAATTTGTTTTAATTTCGTATTTTCAGCTTTAATCCCAATATTCTCGGCCTTGACTTTGGCATTCTCAGCTTTAACTTTGATATTCTCAGCCTTGATTTCAGCAAACTTTTTTCTAAGTTCATCAACCTGCAGAACGAGCTTGGAATTTTATTCTTCGAGCAAATCAATTTTGGATTGAGTATTTGTCATTGTTTTATATAAGATACGGATATATTCAAAAGTTTGAATTAATAGCGGAGCTAGTGTCAAAGACACATAAAACCACGTGATAGAAACTGTGACAAAATGACATGATCAGAAAAAATATTGTTATACATGATTCGAAGAAGAGCAAAGCTCGAATCCCAATTCATTGCCTAAAGGCTTATACAAAAAATAACACATGATACGTTGTACGCTCCTCTAACCAAAAATCTTTATTAATAAAATGTATATATATGATAAAAATACAGGATAAAAATATAAGATAAAAGATAATATAGGGCCTTGCTCATGATTCGCATAATATATGGTAATTAATTATTTTCTCGTATAGGCGAAGATATAGTTGAACTTTTTTCCATAACCTTATTTGATCTAGTTAGTGGTGCATTACACAGTAAAGATATATTAACCAATAAAATATTCCACATTATCAACAAGGTTTCAACAAATTTTGTAACAATAGTAGAATTTGATTGCTGTACTGGTATTCCCACATCACGAATATGATAATAACGGTGAATATCTGCCAAGTCTCTAATGAGAACATTTAAACGTATTGTGATACCTGCTATTTGCACTTCAACAATATCAAATTGGTCTCTGTCGGGTGTACAACTCTTATGAACCCAGTATAGACCATCATTACATTCATGCCACAATTTCACTTCATCATCTTTTTTCTTTTGTGGAGTGCAACTCAATCGTGAACACTCGGTATATAAGAGTTCATATTTTTTTACACCATGTTTCATTATAAACATTATATCTGGTCATTTACCTGATCATCCTTCGCCTCTTCTATCTGTACTCGCGCTACTCTGTTTTTTGGAACTGTTGACAAAAGTTGATTTTTCTAGAAGAAGATCTTTCAATGTTGCTCTAATAGTAGATAATACTATATTATTCACATAAGTACTTTCACTCTGAAATCCCGCAAATTCAGGACTAAATGCTGGATTATTCCATGCATCTTGCCTAATACAAATAAAAAATATTTTGTGAATTTTTCAACAAAGTCAGTATGACCAAAATCCTGCAATATATCCTATACTTACAAAGTATCTAAAATTCTATTCGTGACCTCTGCAAGTTGATGTTTTGATTCTTTCCAGACCCCATTATGTATAATTCTTCGTGACAATTCAACCACACGATTTTCGTTAAAGGTCGACACAAATTCATTACACTTTCTTTGTATTATTGGGGGGAGAGATGCTGAAGTCATTTGTCGTGCCAGTTCCATAAAGGAATATCGTAGTATTGTCGATAATTGATGCACTAGTCCTGAATCGTCAGTAATAATCTGGTTTGCCAAAGGATCTTTCCACGTCAATTCAGAATTTTTTACTTTCTGTAAACTTGAAAATAATTTCTGATTAAGTGGTGTCATTTTGTTATTGAGCTTCCCCTTTAATTTTCGTATATTATCTGCTATTTGATTCGAATTAAGGGATTTTTCTTCGTTCGTTTTTACCGCCCCAATAGCACGTAAACTGAATACTGTTTTATAAGAAATTTCAAACTAACACAGATTTACAATTAATTAGTTTCCTATCGATATAAAAATACAACTTAAATCATGCATGCGTTGTCAGAATATAATCAAAGTCCATCTTTGCGTGGCTATCGCGTAGATAAAACTTTGTACGATACATAAATAGCAACACAAAACAAACATAAGTCGACCTATAGCTTAATTACCCCTCATGCTATTGAGGATTTTTTCCTGTAGGCAGACTATGGGGTATTTAAACTGTTATGTTTGATTCCTTAGAATAGTATCACTATTTGCGCACTCATCACTCAAACAAACTTTATATTTTTTTCTAAAATTTATTACCATACCTCTGGTAAAATTTCAAGAAGAATCATATAACGTGAAGACCCACGTGTAATATTATTATTGGCAAATAAAATAACTTGCTCTATAACATTTTTTAACTCATTTTTTTCTATCTACGGTTCATCTTCTATGGCTTGGTATATAACAGATCTGGTGGTTATGTAATGCTCTTCAGTGTTAATCAAAAAGTTATAAATTTTAGTAGATAGGTTAGTAGACATAATGATACATTAGCTAATAACAAAAATGTAAAAAATAATGGTAGTATATAGGGATAGCAAAGACGCAAATAAATCTTTCACCAATGCCACTATACTCTCATTTTAATACTTCTCATTATTTCTTTTTTAGTACATCGACTTATATAGTTGATACATGCATGAGAACAAAGAACGCACAGTGTGCGGAGTTTACAACTCATATGTATATGCTCCATGGTTAGTTACTTGAATATAGGAAAAAATCCACTATACTTTCCTTTTATTGCTTTTTGTGATTTCTTTTCATATCGCACCGAAAAATAGATTAGGAAAAAAGGTAACGTATACACAAGAACAAAGAGTAGTGTACATATCTCGAGTCGATTATTCAAACCAGGTTATCGATATCCTTATTTGTAAAAGGTACAACATAGTGTTTTAGTTTTGCGATAAATATAAATAAAGATCGATGAGAATAAAAAAAGTGATGTTATGTATCCGCTTTTGAGAAATTTTTCATATAGATATGCAGGGTGTAAGAGGTACTAATTAAATTTGGTAATCAGTGTATTGTATGACTAAATGATGCATGTAGATTCTATTACATTCGAATTTATTCTATGATACATATCACATGATTTTAGATATCATAGATATTAGCTTTGCTATATAAATACTAATACTCGAACTCGAGATTACCCATCCCAAAAATAATATATTCAGAATGATTCGTTATCGTCATCTATTTCTTGCAAAATATAACATTCTTGAAGAAATGGTTTCAAAATTTAATCGCACTAAAATTGAATCGCATATTCTAGAGTATATAAGTTATTAAATTAAATAGGTCTGAATCCCTAAATACGATATAAATTACATATAACTTCTATAAATACACTATAAATCATATAAAATGGTTAGCTTAAGTGATTTACGTGGAACCAATTGTACCGATGCTGAATGGTATGAATATTGTGAAATGCCACAAGTTCGTGATAGTGAAACACCCACTGAGTGGATGGATCGAATTTGGCTTCGCTTACAGTATTTCAGAAAGAATGATCTTTTGCTTACTGAAAGCAAAAAATATCTTGAAGCTAGGAAATTGACATTAGTCCCTACTCTAGGTACATTATACCTGCCACCCAAATTCAAAATCCAAATGCCGAAATTCCAAATGCTGAAATCCCAAATCCCAAATCCCAAATTATGATTAGTATTTTTTGCCAAAATCCCAAATCCCAAATCCCAAATACTAGTAATTTGGGATTTTGGCATCCCAAATCCCAAATGATTTGGGATTTGGGCAACACGTATAAGGGTGGTAGTAATTTTTGAGGAAATAGTTGATGTGGACCATTCTATTCTATATTGTTTCGCTAGTACTAGTATGTCTAATGTTAAGTTTTGATGTAAAATTATTTGTTCTTTTAGGATATTTGCCTTCAAGATTGAATTTGGAATCCATAATTAATTTTGTGCTGCTTGTAGTCTGATTCTTGTTGTGGCCCCTATTATTGATTGATCATTAATTCTTGCATTAAGGATGCTGATATGTTATTGTGTATATCTATAATATGTGTCATATAACTCATATCTTAGCTTTGTAGTATATATACTGTTGATGGCAGTTTGAGTGAATCTTGCTTTGTACTTTAAAGTTGTAAAGCATTTAGAATTGATTTTATTTTTTAATTCGTCAATAATCGTTAAATTTTGCATTAAATATTTAATTTTAGGAAAAATTACATGATTAATAATATAACGAGCTTCTTTATCTATTAGTTATTTTCTTTGGATGGTATTGTAAATATCTGAGACTTTGTCCATAATTAATTTGATTTGGTGTATTTTGTTTTTGTTATGTTGTATATAAATTCTTAAGAGTCAGATTGCTCCTGTCTTTTTAACATCTATGATCTTTTGTTTTTCAAATTCTATTGATGTTTTTTGTTCCTTTGGTTTTGTCATGTTAATTGTAAGCAGTTTTGATTTTATATGATTTATGGTTATTCCTGTAAATGAGGAAAATTTTTCTATCAGTGAGAGTAGTTTTATTAACTCTTCTTTTGTCAATGTTATGTAAGTAGTGTCATCCATGTAGGCGATAGCGTTGATTTTTTGTGTGATGTGAAGAGTTTTAGGATTGTTTATATCTGACAGGTGATATTCAGTTGATAAGTTATAACCTTCTATGCAAGAGTCTAACCGAGTTAAAAGTGGATTATAGTATATTCGCTACAGGAGTGGAGAGAGAGCATCTCCTTGTGGGATGCTAGTTGATTGGGCAAATTTATTTGTTTTTCTATAGAAAGTAATTACATTTGTTGTATTTTGTGTATACAGGTTCATTATTAATGTAATTAGATTATCTGACATATTAATACATTTGAGAGCTAGTTGAAGTAATGAATGATTAATTGAGTCAAATACTTTAGAAATGTCTTGTGTAAGGATCCATATAGATTTTTTTTATTCTCTTGTATCTTCTAGACAATTGTTAATGATGTAAATTGGACCACTCGTCGAGCCTCCCAGCAGTCCTGCCCAGTTTAGTTGTGATAACAGTTTGTTATTAGTGAGGGTATTTGCAATTCTTAGATAAAGTAGTTTGATGAATATTTTGCGTGCTGATTCTAATAGAGCAATGGGACATGTTATTCTAAGGTCTTTTTTCCATGGTTTAGGTTTTGCAATGAGAAACATATTACTATAGTTCCAGTCTTTTGGTACTTATTTGGTATCTAGAATCTTGTTGAATAGTGAACATAGTTCTGTTAGGTGGCTGTTATCTAGGTGTTTTTAAAATTCGTATGGTATATTTAATTCTCCAGGAGCTTTTTTGTTAGACATATTCATAATTACCTTTTGGATTTCAATGATAGAAAATGGTAACAAAATCTCAGCAAAAATTTGTTTATTATTTGTATACTTAAGGGTATATTCTTCTTTTCATTCTGATAACATTGACAGGGGTGTGATAGGATTGTTTTTTTCTCATGAAGCAAATGTTTTAGATATTAGACTTTTAATTTATGTTGGATCTGTTAATAGTGTTAATTTATTTGTAGTATGGTCTTTGACTGTTTCTGCGATTATTTGAGATTTATATTTCTCCAATATTTTCTTCAGCAATTCTTTTTTATTTGTTATAAGGAGGATTTGTCTGTTTAAGATGTTGGTTTTTATGTGAATTTTGCAATATTTTTGTATTTCTATTTTACAGGCTTTTTTACTATTGTAAGTAATTTCTTTATATTTTGTAGTTTATTATTAATTGGTATTGTATTGTTATTTATATTTGATTGGTCAATAATAAGATCGAGTGATGTTAATTCGTTGTTATATTGCATAATAAGATTATTTAATCTTAATTATATTATAATTGTATTGTTTTTGTTGTTTCTTTTTATTTCTCTAAGAATTCTGTATATTTTTTATATGCGAATGACATCTGTGTATATAGGTATATGATTATGTAGATAGGCTTTATGTGATACCGTTCTATTGTTATTGCGTTTAGTTCGTTTAATTACCTTGTTTGTACTTTGTATTATATTGGATTTGATTTGTTACCATTGAATATGTATAGAATTTGTTGTTGCGATTATTTTATTGAATAGTTCTTTAGTGAATTTATCCCAATTTTCTTTTTGAGCTGTATTAAGATTGTATCTGTACTGAGATTTTTGTTTATATATATTTGAAGGAAGTGATTTGTAAAATGTGTCAAGTAATATTGCTCTGGCACAGTGGTGGTCTGTTGCAATCTCTTCTTCAGTATCTATAATGTCTGCATCAATTAATGTATCAGCTGTTTTGGGTGATAACCAAATTTGATCTATTCTTGATTTGAATTTGTTTCAAGTCTATGTAAATTGTAATGTGTTTGTCGTGTCCTCTGTATCTGTTTCTAATTTAATGTTTTGTATTATACGAAATGTGTCTATGTAGTTTTTGTTCGTAAGGTATTTGAGTAAGGGACCTTCCATTTTGTTTGGTCTGTATTTAGATGTTACAGATATATCTATAGTTGGATCATTTACACTGTTGAAATCTTCTAGAATTATGATTCTGTTAGTATTGGTCAAGTTAAACCTTTTCGTTGTTGTCTTGATCCATTTCATCAGTCTTGTATGCAATACTAAGTTAGCTAGTCTACTTGCTGGTGGGAAGTATATTGTTATGATTTTAACTTTAATTTTTTGTTTAAATATCATGTCTAATGTTATCGCATGGTTTTCAAATGTTTGAATTGAAGTTACATGTTTGTTAAGTTATTTTTTTACCATAATTCCCACTCTATGGTTGTGTGTTTCTGAACCTTTTGTCCAATAGTATGTGAATTCTTTGTTATTGAGATTCTGGTTAAGATTATTTTTTAGTATATGGAATTGGTTGTGTGGAGAATGTTGAGTTTCTGTTAGGCTTAGTATATCAAATTGGTAATTGTTTGCAAAATCTATTATTTGTTGTTAAGTCATTATATTGTTTAAGCTATACGTGTTGTCCAAATCCCAAATCATTTGGGATTTGGAATGCCAAAATCCCAAATCATTTGGGATTTGGAACGCCAAAATTCCAAATTACTAGTATTTGGAATTTGAGATTTGGGATTTCAGCAAAAAATACTAATTATAATTTGGAATTGGGATTTGGGATTTT